GCCCGCCTGCGTTCGACCCAACCCCCTATTCCACTTCCCCGTCTCCTCAGCCAGCCTCGACCTCCCCGGTCCTGCCCGAGAGCAGTCGCCAGCAGGAGATCGACGACCTGGAATTCGCGATCCAGCTGAGTCTCGCCGAGGCGGAGAGTCAATCTCAGTCCCAGCCGGAGGAATTCCCCGCCCTCACCCCGTGGTCGGCTACCCCGCCGCCGCCCCCGCCCTCGTCCGGCAGGGATAAAGGCAAGGGGCGCGCCCTTTGATCCGAGTTTTTCGGATCTTTTATAGAAGTAATCCCGTGCTATGTTGCGTGCTGTGTTTTTTTTCTAGGTGTTTGTTTCATATCTTTTCTGGAATTATGTCTGCAGGGCGGTTTTCCCCCTATGTGGTAATATTTGTGGTTGTTGTTGTGCTGTACCTACGATGCGCTTTCTGCGCCTTGTTCAAACTCGCAGGGTTTGGTTTCTAGACGTGCTCTCGGGATTATTGTAACTTGTGATTCATATATTGAATGGATGGATCTACACGTGCATAATAGAAGAGAATCTACACAAAAGAGTGGGGGACTGAATATACTGTAAATCACTCTTGACTGAGACTCACACATAGCACACTTCGTAGTAAATGTCAGGTCCTTGTTCTCAGACTACTGATCCCGTAACTATCTGGTTAAACATATACATAACAATAAACGTGCACAAGCAAAAGCGACCTAAGAATGCAGCCAAAAGGAAAGGTGTGGTATATACAGCAGATGGATTAGACGATATCGATATACTCGTAGCATAAAGCAGGGCAACCAAAGCAACCAAAGCAAGCAACCAAAGACCTCATATTCCCGTGTCTCCCTCCCCATTCATGCCAGGCCCATGGCCCCGGCCCCCGGAGCTTTCAAAAATGGGGGATGTGGAACAAAAACAGACCAGACCTGTCATACTTTGTACATGAAATTCGTCTCCACGCCCACCGACCAAACCGGGGTCAGGGTGAGGCCCCCTGCGGGATTAAGAACACGTTCGCCGGGAACAAGAGAATCATCGTATAGATCAATCAAAAGGATGAGCGAGCTAATGCCATAAGAACATCGGCGCGCGTAAGAAAAATATATAATCTAAGATTCTATATAATGTGTTGAGAATGGGTTCACAGCAAGAAAGCGGCGAACAGGGTGACTCCGCTCAGGAGACCGAGGACGGAGGCGGACATCTGAGCGGCGGCGGTGGTGGCACCGCTCTCGTGGGAGCTGGAGGAGCTCGAGCTGCTGGAGGAGCTGGAGGAGCTGGACGAGCTGGACGAGCTGGACGAGTTGCTGCTGGTCGTGGTGGAGGTCTCGTTGTTGGGGACGTTGGACGCGTCGTCGGCCAGGACGGTGTACTTGATGCTCGAGAGCTTGCCGCCGCTGGAGGAGTAGACGGTCTGGGGGATCGCGGTCGACGAGACGGTGACGAGCTTGCCGACGGTGGCGTTGGTGAAGCCGTTGCTGATCCAGTCGTCGACCTTGGTGGGGCGGCTGGGCAGGTCCCAGGAGTTGAGGAAGGTGCTGGTGCTGATCAGCGCCGAGTCACAGGTGACGGCCTCCTGGGAGGTCTGGGTCGCGTTAGAGGACTCGATGCTGCTCATGTCCAGCTTGCCGTACTGGGTCTTCAGGTTGTCGTAGTCGGTCAGCAGGGAGACGGTGTCGCTGCTGTTGACGGCGACGAGACCGTAGTTGTTCGCCTCCTGCGTCCACTCGTAGACCAGACCGCCCGAGAAGACGGCGGACATCTCCTTGCCGTAGAGGGTCGCGACCTCGGAGAACGTGCGGGGCGTCACCAGGTTGCAGCCGTACTCGGAGAAGAAGACGGGCAGCGAAGAGTTGGAGAAGTCCTCGACGAGCACGTCGTAGCCACTCTCCTTGTAGGTGGAGTCTCCGCACCATGAGTAGGAGTTGAGACCGAACAGGTCGGCCTGGGAGCTGGTCGAGTTCTTGAGGTCGCAAGACAGGTAGTTGAGGGTGTCAACGAGGATGGGGCGCACGTCCGCAGCAGAGTAACCGACGGGGATGGTCCGGTTGGCGTTCTTAGCGATGTAGTCCTTCATGTCGCGGGTGACAGCCTGGGAAAACGTCGGATTTTAGCTATGTTGACAGTTGACAGTTGGCATGAGCGCAAGGCAAATAACGTACCCGAATGTAGGCAGGGGCCTCGTAGACACTGTCCTCGTTGATGACCTCGTTGCCCGCAAAGAAGGCAAGGGTGTTGGGAAAGTCCTTGAAGGCCTCGATGACACCGAAGACTTGCTCAAAGTACACGGCATTGTAGGTGCCAGAGGGGTCGGTACGATCCAGAGAGCCGCCGTATAGCGGGGAGTTGACATCCAAGATCATGTAGATACCGGCACCGTTGAAGATGGAAGCACACTTGCTGTGATCGATGGTGGGCGACAAGTTGTAAACACGGATAGTGTTGACACCAAGGCTCTGCATCAGGGCGGCATCACGAAGACAGGCGTCGGGCTGGCTGAGGGGATCCTCAGTCGTACTGAAGCCAGAGGAACCACCAGGCTGGTAACTGTGTACGAGTGTCGACTATCAGTGATTCTGTTTCTATGAAAATGGCATGACCAGGGCGAATTGGACTGCGGGATTGCTTACTCGACACCCAGGATCTGGAAGCGATCACCAGTCTTGCTGTTGACAAAATCGGTGCCTTTGACAACAAGGGGTGTGACAGCATTGGCAGTGGTAGCCAACGCGCACGCAGTGGCGAGCAGACGAGCGTAAGTCTAGGTAGGGTTAACTGTTGTTCTTGGCTGGGATGATCATGATGATCACGATCATGAGGAAGTATAGGATGGTTTGTTGCCTGAAAAGGGGGGCACCCACGGGAACCATCTTTTCTTTTTCTTTTTGTTTTCTCTCTTCCTTCCTTTTCTATAGAAGCTGATGATGAGGATGATATTCAAATGTGCGCAAATTGCAATTCTAGGTCGATGTCTAGCACCGAATGCAGCGAGCGATAATCTCAGAACGAGCGAACGAAGGACTTAACCAACGGAAAAGAAACGAATGACGAAGAAGGGGAAGGAAGAGGGAAGCAGCGAAGGGGGATTCAGGCTAACGCTTACAGAATAAAAAAAAAAGCAGGGAAAGCGAGCATGATTAAGTACAACCAACCTTCCAAGGTCAGGGAAGGGAAGGGGGGGAGGGCCGGGCAGCAAGACATGAACCCATCCCTGGCCATTTCTCTCCTCCACTAATACTTGAGCAAGTACTGTTAACCAGTGATTTTCGGTGGTTTAATCACGGTAAATCCATCGCGCAAATTGGCAGTGGACCTGGTCAACCTCGCGTTCCACCCTCATTGGCCTGACCGGCACTGGGGCGAGACAAGCGGCACCGACGATCGACCCTGGCACGAGCTGCGAATTATTGCGCTGCTCATCCATTACGCACTTCGAGGTCCGTGATTCATGAAATAAAGGATCATCGGCGGAGTGAGTGGCCCCCCCCCCCCGTCATTCATTCATTCTTGCATTCATGCAACGGTCGCAGATAACTGCAGTTAACTTGGACCTTTCATCCCTTAGTATACTTATACTTTTAATCATCTTTTATATCGACTATCACCCGTTTTCTTCCCGATGACCCCGTCTCACAGCAATAAAGGGAACCACTGCTCGCTTCTAAGAATACACGCCCCAGCAGAGAACAAATAGCCGGAGCAAGGAAATCACGGAAAAAGCAGAAAAAATCATCAGCATCAACCCACACAAGTCATGATGGCGCCGAGCATTACCAAGAGATGTCCGTCTCATCGACACTCAAGACCCAATGCAAATATACAGGGGGAAAGGATAAAAGGAATAAGAAATAAAGCAAGCAGAACACATGAACGACCTAGGAAAATTACACGAGTAGCGGAGAGGGAAAGCGGGATCAAAGAGGATGCTTAGACAGATCCGTCCGAGGGTTTGCAGCCAGACCATGACCCTGCAGAGACTGGAGGTCACCACAGTAGCGACACCCGTTCCATATCAGAGATGCAGGTTCGAGGCAGAATGCGGACGGAGGGAGAAGGAAAGAGTTAAGGACAAAGAGAATCGATCACGGCGGACGAATTTACTCCACACCGTGGCTCTCCGGGCCGGAGCTCTCTGCCGTGAAGGAGCCGAGCTGGAGGCCGGCATCCATGGCGACCATCTCAGCCAGGATCTCCAGGACCTCCTTGGGAACCGTCTTGTCGTAGATGGAGATGAGGTCCTTTGGCTGGGGGTAGACCTTCAAGGCCTTGTAGAAGCACAAAGCGGCCTCAACGGGTTCTGCTGCAAGGTTGGTATCTATATCGCCGGAAATATTGCGGAGAAAGGGCGCGGAGGTCGAATCACCGCGGAAGACACATACCTTCAGCACAGAGGGACTCGCCGCGAGCGACCTGACCCATGAAGTAGGCCTCCTTCTCCTCTAAGTCCGTAGGGAAGCCCTCATCCTTGGCTTGCTGCACGGCGGCCTTGATGGACTCGCGCTGCATGGCGCCCTGGGCCTCGGCTTCCTCCTTCTCAACGCGGGCCATGCGGCGGTTGTTCCGCTTGAGGGCGCGACGGAACTCGGGGTCGGTCTGGCGCTTGTGATCGAAGTAGACGGCGTAGGCTAAACAGGTACGGAGAGCGAGTTAGCAAGACGCACGTCACGCAGGCCATAGATAGCATGGCGTAACTGAGTCTTACCCAGAAGACCGGTGATGATCGTGCCGGCGGTGGCGGCCACCAAAGTGGAGGTTCTCATGATGTAGGTGGGGATGAAGGAGACGGTGATGACCGGGGAGAGACAGCGAAAACGAAAACAATAGCGGGAGATGGAGATGTAGCGAGTCGACTCGAGGGGAGAGAGTTGAAGATGACGACGAGATGCGAATGGCTCAATTGGGGAATGATTTTGCCGGGATCATCATTTCTCCGCCTCGGACTTACCCTCCCGCTTCGGCCTTCGTGCCTGGAGTTGATCATCATCATCATCGGCCGTCGTTGTCGTTGTCGTCTCCTTCCCCTCTATTATTCTTCCCTCTCTCTAACAATACTCCCGGTCGATTGCAGGTTCAATCTTCTCCTCTTCCCCCTTTCTCCCCCCTCCCCCCCTCTCACCCTTCCTTCCTGCTACGTCACCATGGAAAGCCGTGGCTTGACCCTTCGCAGCAAATCTCGCCGTCCTCGACCCCAGATTAGTGCTCCGAAGCCCATCTCCGGCCCTCTTCCGCCTAATACCATCAGCCCCAGTCCCAGCACTTCGACCAGCGCTTCCGCTGTCAGCAAACCCGCCGTCCCCGTGCATGGGACCACCGCCAGCTCTGCCAACAAAGATGCGACCTCTGATCTCGTCAAGCGACGGTACTCGACCCGGTTCAACCAAGTCCCTGACTTTGATGGTGTGCCGCCAGTGCCCGGCCTACCTCCGCTCCCGGCCACGTATGGAGGACTGAGCCCGCCCGAGACGAGTCGCCGACCCTCCACCGAATCGTCGGGTCCGCCAAAGGTGGATTTGGATGCGCTGCGGGATCCCAGTTTGCCCGTCGATAAATGTGAGTTGGCGTGGCTTTATTTCCAACCCAGCCGGCTTCTTGGACGCTGACTTTGGATCTAGATGTGGCCAACCTGCTTGCGAACGCGTCGGAAGAAGAGATCGAGGAATACCAGCGCAGTCTACGAAAAGTCAAGAACCGAACATCCACCGACCTCCAGCAGAATGTATACCAGAACCGGACCCAATTCATCAAGATCAGTAAAGAAGCGGAAAAGCTCAAAGGGGAAATGCGCACCCTGCGCACCCTGATGGCGGAGCTGACTACCACGCTCGGTCAAACTACAGTCGGCACCACCCCTAACCCTATGTCGCCCATGCCCGATGAACGACTGCCCAAGCGTCACGCCAACCGCAGCTCGGTCGCAAATCTGGAGAGCATGTGGAACGTGCAGCTGCAGACGTTGTGGAAGACCGTCGAAGGATCGCAAAAGTTCTTGCCGGTGGTGCCGGGCCGGCACATTGTGATGGAGAGTGGACACTGGGTCGAACTGGATTCGGCAACATGGAAGCCGCGGCGCCCGGTGCACATTGTGCTGCTGAACGATCACCTCCTGGTGGCGGCCAAGAAACGCAAGCGCGTGGATCAGAGCAGCCATCGTGGTCCCGTGCCTACGAAGTTGGTGGCAGAGGAATGTTGGCCCCTTCAGGATGTGGATATGATCGATCTCGGGGCCAATCTCGGCGCGGGGGTTGCGCGCGAGGATGCTGAAGACCGGGGCATCACGAACGCCATCAACGTGCGTGTCGGAGGCAAACCTTTCACCTACCGGCATGACAAGCGGGACAGCTCAGCCAAGAGTGACCTACTGGCCACCTTTCGAAAGACGGTCGAGGATCTCCGACGCAACCTCCGGTCGGACACCGAGGCCGCCGGCAAAGCTGTCCCTGAGGTAACAGGCTATCGCCACGCCTCGTACTCTCCGCAGCCGGATCGGCCGGTCAGTATGGACGGTGGGCGAGACAAGCCTGAGGTGCGCATTGATGTAGACGGCAAGCAACAGAACCTGCGGTGGGTGGAGGGCCAGATCGACGAGCTGGACATTGATATTGCTCTGCAGCGGTTCGAGGATGCTGTGGGCCACATCGAGCGGTTGCGCAAACTTGCCCGAGGGTTAAAGGGCAATGCGGTCGCGCAGGACGTGATCACAACCAAGGTGGATGAGCGTGCGGCCGCCCTGGCCGAGGTATTGCTGCGTGCTCTGGTGGACACTCCCTCCTTCCCTCAAGCGACCAAGACCAAGTCCACGTGGCTGATGCGCTTGGGCTTCGAGGACCAAGCTAGGGAGGCTTATCTTAAGGCGCGAACTGATGTCATATCCAAGCGGATCAGGTGGGTTTCTTTCTGCTCCCATCGTAATGAGCTGAACTGACGTGCTACAGAGCCTGTGTCTTCGAGGGCGACCTCCCGATGTATATCTTCCAGATTTCCTACGTCTACTTCACCTTGATCAAAAACACCATCAGCATTTATCAGCAATGCTTCCCGCCGGCCATGTCCAGTGCCAGCATCCGCTGGGCCAAGCATCACCTCGACGGCTTCAATGCGCTCCTCACGCGGCAGCTGAGCAGCGTGCAGCGGGGGACCACCGTGTACCAGAAATGTCTTGATATCGTGCACGAGCATGCCAGCCTGCTGACCGAGGTTGGAGTCGACTTCACCGATCTGGTCGCCAAGGGGCTGGAGGTGGAGGATTCAGCCGAACGGCCACAGATGACACGCTCGGAGTCGTTGATCTCAGGACTGGCTGAAGCTGCGGCGGCCGCGTCTCCAGTCATTTGAAATAGGGGATGTTTGATCTGTAGCGTTTTTGTTACTCTGCGTACGCTTGTCTATATTTTTATTTTTACTACCCAGCCTCGGGAGGCTCGTTATGTACAATTCAGCTCTGTGCAAGCTTGTTGCTTTGAAATGTAACCTTAGATGCATACTATTATTATATGTCAGCCCAGATCTGCTTCATCCCTTAATTTATACCAGACACTATGCGCTCTACACCTTACTGAACGACCACGTTGAGTGGCGGGATTGTCTTCACCGGGCCGACTTCGGCCAGGGGAATAAGCCTCTTATCGGAGTGGAGACTGTGTCCTCAGGCACCGATCTGCCGTCACTGTCAGCCATATATACCCACCTGCAGTCCTGTGCTGTCTATTCAATTCAAGGTCACAAAACAGAGTTCGGATCAAGAATCTACATGGTGTGAGCTGGAAAGCTACCGATCAGCCACCGTAGTGAATCTCAGCATTTTCCGTGCGACACTTTTTTCTCTCTATGAGAAGCGCAGTACGTAAGAGGAAAACACGCCCGGCTGCCGCCCGAAGCCGAGGAGGCCATCGGCGTCCAGAAGTAGTGCCGAGCGACTCGGGAGGGATGCAAGCCCCCCGAAGCGGCATGCAGTTGGCCGATCCATAACGAGCAATGGAGGGAACGAGCGAGGAAACAGTAGCTGCATCGCTGATTCTTCTGTTTTGTTCTGTCTTTCTTTCTCTCTCTCTACCATACACACGCGCGCGCTTGTTTTGGTTCTAGACACTCACTCTTTTTCGTCTTTCCTCACTCCCCTTCGTTGCCCGTCGCCAAGATGGGTCTCACCGCAGAGGTAGTACAGGACCAGCCATCCTCGTCACAGTCGAGGTAAGATACAGACAGACACATAATCCCTCCTCCGCGGACAACGCACCTATCCGGCTCACATCCTTGAATGACAAAGCTCTTCCGCACTGGCAGCGCTGCCGGAGCTGCCCCTCTTCTGCGCGGCCAAGGAGCATGCCCAGACTCGCCCCTACCACATCGCCGTCGACGATGCCACCAAGGGCCAACAGTTCACCTACCGCCAGCTGCTGGCCGATACGGCCGCGTTGAAGCAGCATCTGCTGGAGACCCTCGCGCTCACGGAGACCGGGGATCTGGCGGAGCGTCGGATCGCGTTCCTGGTGCCCAATGGCTATGATTACGTTGTGACACAATGGGCCGTCTGGGCAGCGGGGGGTGTGTGCGTGCCACTCTGTAGGTTCTTGTCCGGCGGTATATGAACTAGACTTGTGGGTTGGGACTGCTAACCATTTTTGCGAAAAGGTACCTCCCACCCCGTGAAAGAGCTCCTGTACACGATCGGGGACTCGGACCCCTCATTGATCATTCTGCATCCCACCTTTGCCGGAACCCAAGACGCTCTGCTGCAGGGGCTCAGCAGCAGTAGCAGCACGATCCCGTTCATGCACCTCACCCCATTCCAACAAAAATCGGAACCCGAGCTCGCCTCGCTCGCCATGCCCGCCTTCTTCCCTCTCCAGCCCGCACAATGGGCGCTGACCCGCCGGGCGTTGATGATCTACACCTCCGGCACGACCGCCAACCCGAAGGGTTGCGTGACCACGCACAAGAACATCACGTTCCAGGCGCGCAGCCTGGTGGAGGCGTGGCAGTACACGCCGGCCGACCGGCTCATCCACGTGCTGCCGCTGCACCACGTGCACGGGATCATCAACGGGCTGGCGGCGTCGCTGCTGGCGGGCGTGACGGTGGAGATGCACCCCAAGTTTGACCCGGCGACGATCTGGCGGCGGTGGGCCGAGGGCGGGTCGACGATGTTCTTCGCCGTGCCGACCATCTACTCGCGGCTGGTGGACGACTTCGAGGCCCGCCTGCGCGGCACCCCGCAGGAGGCGGCGGCGCGCGCGGGCGCACAGGCCCTGCGACTGGTGGTCAGCGGGTCCGCGGCGCTGCCGACGCCCATCAAGAAGAAGTTCGCCGCGTGCACGGGCGGCCAGGTGCTGCTCGAGCGCTACGGCATGACGGAGATCGGCATGGGCATCAGCTGCGGCTTGCCGGTCGAGCAGCGCATCGACGGCAGCGTCGGCTGGCCCCTGCCCGGGGTGCGGGCGCGGCTGACGGAGAAGGAGACTGGGCGGGTCATTGAGGGGGTGGATGAGGACGGGATGATCGAGATCAGCGGTGATAATGTGTTCCGCGAGTACTGGCGGCGGCCCGAGGCGACCGCCAAGGAGTTCACCGAGGACGGGTGGTTCAAGACGGGCGATGTGGCCCGGCGCGACGCGCAGGGCGCGTACTATATCCAGGGCCGGGCATCAGTCGATCTGATCAAGTCCGGCGGGTACAAGATCTCGGCGCTGGAGGTAGAGCGGAAGATGCTGGGGCTGGACGCGATTCAGGAAGTGGCCGTCGTGGGGCTGGCTGACGAGGAATGGGGCCAGCGGGTGGCGGCGGTGGTGAAGCAACGAGCCGGGGTGAGCTTTCCTTACTAGCGTTGACCTATCCAGAAGTACAGGACCACTGACATCAATACGCAGACGGAGCCGCTGGAACTGGGCAGTCTGCGCGCGCAGCTCAAGCAGGAGATGGCGGCGTACAAGGTGCCGACGGTGCTGAAGCTGGTGGATGCGATTGAGCGCAATGCCATGGGCAAGGTGAACAAGAAGACGATAGTGAAGAAGTATTGGCCGGAGTTGGCTGGGTGATTGTATAGACTGCAGAATAGAGTGAAAGCATGTGCGGTTGGCTGTGCACATATAAAGATACCTTGATTAGGGATGATGTTCTTTTCCGGGTTACTTCGACAGCCGTCAGTTGACAGCATCGAGTACAATCTGCATCAAAGATAAACTCAAAAGTTATCTGTTCTTCAATGACAGCCTTCAGCCGCGTGATGCAGCCCGACAAGAATCTCTTCCATCATTCAATGGCTATCTCTGGCAACACACTCAAACAGAGTCAGCCAATATCAACAAAATGCCTTTGCCTGGTTGCGCATCCTTCCACCCAAGAACTACTGCCCCTCTATGTGTATACGCCAATGCAGATATACCTGAAGAAGAGGCTATTCATCCTCCCTCTTACCCTCCTTACGAGTACACAACTATTCAAATCAATTCAAAAAAAAAAAAAAAAAGCTAACTTCATCCATTTCCATAAACGATCTTCAATTCCAAAAACAAAGACACGATTACAGCTTACTCACCCCATTCACAAGAAAAAGAAAGGGAGCCGAGCTAATCAATCAATCAATCAATCAATCAATCCACCCCCATCGCCGCCGTCTCCAAAAGCCTCCCCTCCCCCTCCCCTTGCCCATCCTCCCAATCCTCCAACGAACCCAAATCCACCCACTCATCCACATCCCCCTTTAACCCAACCTGCCCCTCAACCCATTCCGCCCACGCCCCCTCCCCAAAAAGCCCATACGGCTTTTCCGCTGCCCAGGGAATCGCCAGCAACGCCAAGAACCTCAACTCGAGTTCCAGATGCACGAGCATCGCCCCCTCACCAGCACCTTCCCCATCATGGGGCTGCCACAGGCAAATCGGACATGTATCCGGAACCCCCGTATGCGGAACCCTCCCCGCCTTTTCGGGGGGTGTTGCAGCTCCAGCTACCGCCCCAGCCCCAGCCCCAGCCCCAGCAGCATCCTTTGTGGTCGACGCAGCATCGAAGAAGGAATCATACTCCGCGCGGATATTCCGGCCCGTCGCGAGGTGTTCGACCCAGCCGTGCACCGTGACGAACCCCTCGGCTTCTTGGGATTCGCAGGCCGGGTGAAGACAGGTGAGGTGGCGGAGGTCGGCGGTGAGGTGGCTGCGCCAGGAGGATTTGTCGTCGAGTAAGGCGGTGGGGACCGGGGTGAGGCAGTAGGGGCATTGGAAGGTTGCTGTTTCTGGTTCTTGCTGAATGGTGGAGGGCGGCGGCGGCGGCTCCGTCCAGGACCCGTGAATCACGGCGTCGGCGTGCGGCGGCGCGGGGAAGTTCACGCCGCGCTGCTGGAAGGCGCGGAGCTGGTCGAGGGTGTACACGTCCGAGGAGTGCTGTTGGAGCGCGAGGACGTAGTGTCTTCGTTTGATGTTGAGGCGGATGAGGCGGTGGTGGAGCGGGGTGAGTGTGAACTCTTGGGGATCACGAACAGTATCACGAACGGTGGTCTGCTGCTGCCGCTGCTGCTGCTGCCGCCGCCTCGCAAACCACGCCTCCAACTGCGCCGCAAACCCCCGGTACTCCTCCGCGTGGAACCGCTTGTCCGCGATTTGCTGCCACAGCGGCGGGGGGGATTTCTCGTCCTCGAGCTCGTCGGTGATCACCGCCCCCAGGTCCTGCAGCCACCACCGCGCGGTGTCGAAGGTCCGCCGGATCTGGTCACGGAGGTGCCAGCGCGCGGTCTCGACGTCCTGGGAGGTCTGGATGGCGGAGAGGACGTCGGCGGTGGGGAGCGGGGTGGAGGTGTTCAGGGATTGTGTGGCGGCCGCCGCGGAGGCGTCCAGCGCGGCCAGCTTCCCGCCGAGGTCGAGGAGCTGGAGGGCGGCCTGGCGCAGGTGGCCGATGTGCAGGGTGTAGGTCGATGAGGGGTCCTCGCAGGAGTCGCGGGCCAGTTCTTCGAGGTGCAGGTAGCCTCGGCGGTCGTAGACCAGCTCCCGGAAGGTTTGGTAGAGGTCCTGCGCGGTGGAGTGGTAGTCTGTCAGGCCGCTGTTCTGCGTTAGCTGGTGGAGGTACTGGCACATCCAGGCGGAGATGAGGAGCGCACACATTTTGCTGTTTCTAGGATGGTGGAGTTAGATTGCAGTTGCAGTTGCAGTTGCAGTGTGCGGACTGTACGGTAGGTGATGCGTGTTATAGTCTGAGTCTGTTTACCGACAGGCGATGCAGATGATATTTACTGTGAAACTGGAATTCATGAACCTGGTATTTATACAGCAGCGAAATACATCTAATCTGAGGCTGTACATGTCCAGCAAAGAACATATCCCATTCGGTTCCGGGAACAAAGACCCAAGCCCATTGACTCCCTCCAAGCCCTTATTCCTTACAAGTGCAACAAAAGATTCACGGCAATATCCTCCTGATAACGACCAACAACAACCTGAAAGCACATCCCAGCAGATCGGAGAAGTCCTTACCCGTGATGAGGGCGAGTTAGCTGATTGATGCAGTAGCAGCAGTAGCAGCAGTAGTAGCAGCAGTATAACCCACCTTCACCCCCCCACTCACAACACCACATCAACCACTAACCCAACCACCAAACCAACCACAAAAGCCAACGTGCGACAAGCAACGCACGATACAACCTGAAGCGAGTATAGTAGTCCTGACCCTGGAAGGAAAAGATACTACAAACCAGGGTACAGATCGGCGCCTCCCGTGCCTCCTCCCCGCCACATGCCGTTATCTATCCAAATGATTGGGTGTGAGTCCCCGGCGCCCGGGATCTCCGTCGGAAGTCCCTGAAGAAAACATACCCCCGTCGAACCCTAATCAACCAGTGGTCTGCGTTGCTTGGCCCATTCCCTGAAGATAATCTCGACTGCACTGCAATGCAGCTGCAGCTGCAAAGGCACCGATGTTACCTCACTCGGAGCTTCATGCATTAGACCTGATTGACATGTCGGGGATCGGAGGAGTCCGTTGACGCTGTCTGGGTACTAGATAGACTTCCAGGGGAAAGGATAAATAGGCCTGGTTATCTCGCCTCAGCTCAGTCCAATCCAACCTACTCCAGCACAAACCACCTCAGAGTTTATCCCCAGCCCTATCCAATACAAAGAACCGAAGCTACCAAAATGTCCGCTATCAAGGTAAGCTCCCATCCCCCCATCCCCCCATCCCCTCGTCCCCCAACCCCCTCATCCACCAACTAATCCCTGGGGACAAAGACAATCCTCCTCCCCCTCCTCCTCACCACCTCGCTGGTCCTGGCCGCCCCCGCCCCCGCCCCCGAGCCCAAAGCCGAAGAATCCTGCGCCTACACCTGCGGCAGCACCTGCTACTGGGCGAGCGACGTCAGCGCGGCCCAGGCGAAGGGGTGGTCGCTGCACGAGTCCGGCGACACCATCGACGACTACCCGCACGTCTACCGCGACGACGAGGGGTTCGCGTTCGGCGTGTCCGGCACCTACTACGAGTACCCGATCCTGAGCAGCTTCAAGGTGTACACGGGGGGATCGCCGGGGGCGGATCGCGTCATTTTCAACTCCAATGATCAGCTGGCCGGGGTGATCACCCACACCGGAGCGAGTAGTTATGATGGGTTTGTGGAGTGTTCTTAGTTTTCTTTGATCGGGGGTGGGGGTTCCATGAGGGCTGGCTACAGGGGAGAACTGTGTGTACTGGGTTCATGTCCGACTGTTTCTGGTGATATCAGCAGCCTAGGAAGGGGAGTCTCATATCTCACTGCAGAAATCAATCGAATTCAGAGTCAAGATGATTAGATGGGTAGCTACTCCGTACATGCTAGTATATATACTACGGTTAGGAGTCTATGCACTCGGACCAATCAAATCGACATCGCTACTATCTACGGGGAGCAAGTTTTTTTTTCTTTTTCTTTTTTTTTTTTGTGATGGCCTCAGCCTGTTAAGCAAGCCCCTACTTGCAGCTCTTGCAACCCCCATTTGATTTCGTCCCATTGAGGTGCCGTCCGGTTCGGTGGAGTAGCTCTGTTGCGGGCGAGGGGATCGGACAGCCGTTTCGCCATTGGGTCATCAAGCTCCACAGCCGAAGTGGTAGGACGACCGTGTCTCCAGGCTTCCCTCCTCTCCTGGGATTCCTGCACAGCACCCGACAAATACTCGATGTGCTTCCACCGAGGCGATCGTGAGTTGGGCCAAAACGCCATCCTCTGTCTTGTCCGGGCACTGCTTCGCAGGCCGGATCGGATACTGACGGACCCAGCCAATAAATCTCAAAACTGCTCAATGCAGAGACCAACATGATCTGCCGCATGTCGCAGGACTGGGAAATTGGTGCTCCAATAAAGCTCGTGGGCCAGGAAGCCGAGCTACTCCAATCGGAACCATACGCCAACGCAATATCGCCGGGTCAAACCGTGGCCCTACTACAATCCCTGCTCTTCCATCCACACATACCACCAGTTTACAAGCAGAGGGATCGATTATTACTTCTTTCTTGTTTCATTGATCGATATGTATTGTGACTGTGACCCCTTCCGACTTCACACGCAGTCCCCGAGGGTTGCCGTCTTCCAAGCCGGATGTCTTTGTCTAGAGCTGTTTAGACATCTGTGACATGCTCCAGCTTTGCGATGTGATAGACAGCACTGCTGTTTCCGAGGGATGGGGCGAGGTTCACCTGAGTTTGGAGGGTACGAAAGATGTAGAATGGGCCAGAGAGAAGAATAAGAGGGGAGAGGAGCTTGGCGGAAAGCGGGCTCATTCTCTGGGAAGGACGGAAAGACCAACGGCAACTTCTCAATAACTCAGTATCTATGTGACCCAGGGACCCAGGCTCATGCATATCGACAGATGGTACGTATACCCAACAACTCCGACTACCGCCACTTGTTATCCCAACCACCCTGTTCCACGGCAAAGGCGATCGCCAACTCGCTGAAGCGAGCCATGTGCTGTTCCGCAAATTTTAGTGATGAGCACGACCACGACCGGGAAACCACTCACGTCGATCGAGAAATACCCCGTCTCATCGTCCACGTCCATCGTATCGTTGACGCCATGGACGTACGGATCGAAGTTGCCCGGCATCTTCCCGCCAGCCAGGGGGTTGCCCTCCGACGCAAAGGCCGACGGGTAGTTGAGCTGCGTGAAGGACATGTAGTCCGACCCGGCACCGCTATCCACCTCAAGATTAGAATCCAAAACACCCCTCAAGAAAGTGGAAAACGTACGCGCCCAGTTCATATACCTCCGTCGGAATCGAGATATACTCGCGACTCAGATTGACCGTCCAGTTCGTCAGCGCCGTGTCCGCCTCCGTGGCGATGAAGCCGATCTCCTCGGTCGAATTGTGCGCGATGAACGCCGTCATGTCCTGCCCCCAGCGTTAGTCCCACGGGATGATGATGATGTAGATCACGGGGGCAAAAGGCAAACGTACAAACTCCAACATCGCCCCGATCCGCGCCCCTTCCTCCTTCTTGTACCGCGCAACGGCCTGGCTCCCCAAGAGTCCCCCCTCCTCGGCCGCGTACCAGTGGAACTCCACGGGCCCGTTCTGGGGCGTGTATCCGCTCGCAGCCAGCACGCGGAACGCCTCGAGGATGCTGACGGTGCCCGAGCAGTCGTCGTCGGCGCCGGGCGCGGGCAGCAGCGGGAACAGGTAGTTGGCCGAGTCTTGGTGGGCGCCGATGATGGTCAGCGGGAGTGAGAAGTTGCGGACCTTGGGCTCGAAGCGCGCGATGATCGAGGACTGGGGGAAGGCATGGGTGAAGTACTCCAGGGAGATGTGGGTGCGGAAGGGCGATTCGTCGATGATCTTGAGCGCGTTAGTTTCGTCCCGGTTGCCCGAGTCCTGTGGCAAGGGTACGGGTACGGACCTTGGCGATGTGCTGGTAGAGCCACTGCGAGCTCATCTCGCCATGGATACCCCCGTAGTACCGGTTGTAGTAGCTGGTCATGTGCCGCAGCACGTATTCCATGTGCGCCTTCTCGACCTGATCAAACAGGGGGCGAACGTAGCGCTGGTGCGTCAAGTCCGGCAGGTCTGGTAACCCCGCAAAAATTAACATTGGAACCCCCCCGGATGGAAGGAATGGATATGTACGCACTCGCCGAACCTGCAAGGGCATGCACCTGCTCCGCGTAGAAACCCTCATGCTCCGTGATGTCCATGAACTTCTTCCCCTGCTGCCGCAGCAGCAGCTTGTCGCCCTCGGTCATCCACTGCGGCTGGGGCTCTCCGCGGACGTGCAGCAGCCGGGGCTGGGCGAGGAAGTCGGCGCTATCGGGGCTCAGCGCCAGAAAGGCGGCGACCGGGTCGTCGGGGTGCTCGCGGAGGGCGGCGTGGACGCGGTCTTCGTCGAGGACGAAGATGGCGTCGTCATGGCTGTAGGGGGCTTGGTTGGGGGATTCGAGGATCTGCTGGCGGCTGCTGCTGAAAGAGCTGGACGCACCGAGTGCGGACTGAGCGGTGCTCAGGAGCAGCGGGAGGGTCAACAGAGTGCTGCGCATGGTGGAAATGGGGTGGTGTGGTGGAGTTGGGGAGTTGGGGAGGGAGGGATAAGCTGACGGGACTCGAGGGATGGAGTGGGTGCGATAAGAGGTATTTGTAATTTTGTACGGGGTACGGAGTACCGTACGCATTCGTAGCCCGAGAAATCGGAGCTCGGAGCTGCGGCACGGACCCCAAATCGCGGATAAGATAAGCCTTGGTTGTGCTGGAATCCTGCCGATTGGCTGGATTCTCCAGGCAGCACTCCTCCTACCCGTAAGACTATTCAGGCTGATTGAAGAACAATACAAGGACTGCAGCCCTATATGATCTCTTCATCAAGAGCTGGAATTAGACAACTGGAATACAATCTCACATACACTATCCTGGGAGATTGAAGTATTGTGCAATCCAAGGATCAACAGCCCGCCCTGCGTCATCGAAGGGTCTTTCTGTGCCTATCGGCAAGTAGATGGCTGAAAACTCAACGAGACATGTGCTCGAAGCAAGGAAAATCTATCCTCGGGCACCGAGATCCTCGACATAACCACCCATACACACACTAGCATTACCAAGTAAACCCCAACCGGTCCGCGACGGCCATCAGCCACACACACCACGCGTCGACCTCGGTGGCAGCGACATCAACCTTATGGGACGAACCATTGTACCACAAGTCAACCACCGTGGGCTGGTCATGCGGTTCGGAGGGGTTGAAATCAGGCCCGGCGACGGGATGCTTGGCGAACCCCGCCCATAACTCTTGCATGTAGGCAGTCATGGCCAGCGTGTCCGCGGGCGTGTCGGGCAGATGCGTGCCAAAGATGGCGGGGATCTCCGCCCCGTGCACCGCCCCGTGATTGGGGATGATTGTCCCGGGGGCCGCCGCCTCCGTTGACCACCGATACCGCCAGACACCGGACCTGCGTTTGTTGTTGCTGCTGCTGCTGCTGCTGCTGCTGCTGGCGGTAGTCACATTACAAGCCCGACTAGTCGGACAGGTAAAGACGATATCGCTAGCGAGACGAACAAGCAGGCCGTAGTTCCTCTTCGACAGCGACGAGGAGGAGGGGGAGAAGAGGAGCTTCGCTGCTGCCTCGTCCGCCTGTTTCCGTATCTCCTCGGCTGTTGTCACGAACGGGGGATCGTGCCGCAGCCCGGTACTGATTAGTCGGTCGTGCACGCGATGCCAGGTGGTGTGCACCGGGTCCGTGGCGTTGGAGGACAGGGCGTACACCATGGCGCTGAGCTCGTCGCGCGTGGAGCCCAGCAGCAGCGGCACGTCCGCCAGCCCCGGCCCGTTCAGGATGTGGTCCGTTACGTTGGTGATGCACGTGTGGTGGTCCTCGACGGGGGCGAAGTCGAGCTCGGCTTGCGCGGCGTAGTCGCGTAGCTCGACTGCGTCGACGCGGCGGAGGCAGGCGAGGACCTCCTCGTCTTTCTCTCGGGATCTTACATCCTTGCCGGGCTGGAAATGATCGTGATCAGATCGGGAATCGGATTGGGGTTGGGGATCGGGGCTACCGGTGCAGTTGAAGTGCTCCGCCGCGTTGAGGTAGTTGGCTGTCCCGTTGCCGCCGAACGCGCGCGCAAACGACTGCATGATCGCTGCGCGGAAGGGGGGTCGGTCCTTCGGGCCCGGGGGTGCAGCCAGCAGTTGTTGCACCGAGTAGCCGCCGGCGGACTGGCCGAAGATGGTCACTTTGGAGGCGTTGCCGCCGAAATCGTGGATGTTGCGCTGTACCCAGTCTAGGGCGAGACGTTGGTCGAGGAAACCTGCGTTGCGGTGGGTGAGGGGAAGCGAGGGCGAGTTGGAGAAGCCAAAGACTAGAAGTTGTTCTCGTTGGTATGAGGGTTCTTCTTTGCTATCAAGCAAAAAATGGGGGTGGGGACGGGTGATACGTACTACTTAAACGATAGTTGAAGCTCACGACGATGATGTTTCCACGGACGGCGAGGGCGGTGCCCTCTGTGAATGGGTCTGATGATGTGCCCCAGGCCAGATTCCCCTGGATTTGCATTCAGAAATTGACTCGGATACAGAAGACAGGAGTAGAGAGTCGGGGGCTTGGAACTCACGCCGTAAATCCAGACCATCACCTCTAGATCTGTGGCATTCGATCCCCGAGGGGTCCAGACATTCAGATACAGACAGTCCTCGTCCTCCGTCCACGGGTTATCCTCTGTGGTTGTCATCGCGAGCCCGTCGGCGTGCGGCATCTCTGCATGGTTGGTTGGCGGGATTCCAATACAAGGAGCACGGTATACGCACTGTTGAAGTCTGCAAAGACCTGCATACAGGAGGGTTTGAACTCCTGGGCATAGATGGGAGACGGCCATGGCGCTGGCGCTTCGGGAGGTGCGAATCGCACGGGGGGCGACTGGGCGAAGGGGATCCCCAGATACACATTGGCTGTTTCTGTGCTGGAGGGGAGGGCCTGCGTGGTCCCGATGACAATCCCCGAGGCGATTGTCACGGTTGGGTTGGGAGAAGCCACTGGGCTGATTACTTGCTGGATCGGATACATTGCACGGGGGGTCACCAATTGCAAGGGCTGGAGAATCACCATGGATGGACTTTCAAGCGACCTCTGCTGGCTTTATGTTGGGCATATCCAGTGCTACGACGCCGACTCGTGAGGTCACGGTATCGCCATCTCACCGTTCCACTAGCCTCGCTTCTTTATGATGACATGCTTGCCTCTGTTCCATGGGGCTGTTGTCAACGCAGATGACTTTCAATTGGCTCTGGACAACGGAGATGTGTCATGCACACAGATGCTGAAGTACCTACGTGTCGGACTTAGGGCTTATGTTTTCTAGTTTCAGGGAGACCCGTATCCGCCCCAGCGTTATGCTCAGTATCTGATCAACAGCCCACCGAGTCCAATTGATTGACTAACCTCATCCAGGCACTTTTCTATTAAGTCGAGCCTCAACCACGAGGTCGGAATCATACGCTTCCCAGTACCTCACCCACCCGGAGGTACCTCTTGAGAGTTAAGGTACCCAACCACCAGCCACCTCACCGCATCGCAACCCTCACACCACCAGTCGACGACTTCCCCAGATCCAAATTCGCATCAAACTCCACCGTCATCCACACATCCATGTGCTCGCCTTTTCCCCCGCGCCAGGTATGCCGCGGATGCACGACGACGTTCTGCCAGCCACGACTCGCCTGGCCGTCCGCATCCACCTCCCACACGCGGCCATGCTCTTCCAGCTCTTTGAGGGCAAGTCGCGTGAACCTTTCGGGATGGTTGGCCTGCAGCATGTCCAGCTCCGCCGCGGACTGTTTGATGTCCGGTGCGCAGGGCACCCAGACGCCCCCTTCCTCGGTGCCGTAGGAGAGACAAATGCACAGTTCTCGGAGGATGTCGTTGCTGTGGTTGTGGAAGTGGCTGTATGTTTTGGTTCCTGTGTGCGATTTGATTAGATCAGGGGATGGAGAAACAACGCATATACAAAGAAAAAGAAAACAAGGGCTCGTACCAGCCGCCCAGAACTGCAGACGCGCAATAAAACCCTTATCGTCGGCGAACTGAAAATTAAAGCCCCGCGGATTATGGTAATTGACTCCAGCGTAGGCGTCGCCTCCCCACCACAGCTCCTGGGACGGACGAAAGGCCAGCGGGGTGAGGTGCGGGCTCACGGTATTGAAGGTCACCTCCACGGGGACCTTGTCCACGCAGGGCCAGGGCTGATGTTCGGAGACGATTGCCACGGAACACCCTGTCTGTTTGTCTCACGGGGAAAAAGACAGGCCGCATTCGCTACATGGGTCAGCCGGACGGTCTGGACTTCTGCTGCCACTGCAAACATGACCGCGTGCGGACGGTTGCTTGTGTGAGCCCAGGCACGGACTTGAAGGTTAGTTAATTGTGACGTCTGCTACTGGATGATGATGATGATGATGATGATGATGATGATGATGATGATGATGATGATGATGATGATGATGATGATAAGAGATAAGAAGGGAAAGCTCGCGGTGAATTCAACAGTCGTGGAGTATAAGACGTGTGGCGGTAATAATAGTCTAATGGAGAGTTGCATCAGGGCCCCGTCCATAGTGGGGATTTAGGTTGGATCCGGTTTCCCGCATCCCCGGTTGTGTTGGGCCCCAAAGCCAGTTCGGTACCGTACCGTACGGTATGCTAGATGTAACAAGGTAGGCTTTCTTTCCAAGTAACTTAAAGAGTAAGTGACAGTCGAGTCATATAACTCCCATCATTCTTCAGCTTCCTACTGCCGGGGTTCCACCCCAACCTCTTCCAACCAACCTCCCTCCCCTCCTCTTCCTACAACTCTTCCAGAAAGAAGCCATCCCATCCAGCATGGAGCTTTTGACGTTGTTCGGGCTGATCGCTCTCCCGATCTTCCTCGTTGCCACCTTTTTCCAGCGAGCGGCTACAGAGAACACGCTTCCCAACCGGCTCATCTCGTGGGTCATCAATGTATGCATGCATCGCACCACAGCCCTGTTGCTGAGTAGAGTAGCTTGAACTGCCTTCTAACACATCCACCAGGTCTACCTCCGCGTGCGCTTCCCCATCAAGTCGGCCGACGGGCAGACGACGATCCCCGGATGCCGGTACGTGTACCCGAACGGACAGGGCAACATGGCCAAGTTCTACCAGGACCAGTCGGTGCAGTGGCGCGAGCAGTTCGGGGCCATCTACCGGATCTGGAACGGGATGCGGCCCGAGGTGATCGTCGGGTGCCCGGAGGACATCAAGGCGATCTTCCACGACTCGGGCCAGCACCTCAAGGCCCAGGACATGAACGCCGGGTGGCTGGCGGGCGCGCTCATGGGCCAGTGTCTGGGGCTGGTCAACCAGGACCGCTGGGCGCGCATGCGCGCCGCCATGGCCGAGCCGTTCCACCAGCGCACCGCCCCGTCGTACATCGGGCTGATGGAGAAGCGCGTGCAGCAGGCGCTGGACGCGATCGAGGCGCAGAAGTTGCCGTCGCAGCCCCAGCCCGACGGGACGCCGGCCGCCTCCTTCGTGGTGGACCCCGCGCAGGAGCTGCTGTACCTCCCCTTCTTCATCCTGGGCGACATCCTGTACGGCGCGATGGATGAGGCGATGGAGCGCGAACTGCGCGAGCTGGCCGAGCTGCGCGACGCGCTGTGGAAGCAGGCGATGGGCGGCGGGCTGGCGCGCTACGCCATCGGGCGATACCTGCCGGCGCCGCGGCGCCAGCGCCAGCTGCACGAGTTCCACGCGCGCTGGAAGGCGTTCAACGACGGGGCGGTCCACCGCGCGACCGCCACGCACCACCCGGACGCGCCGATCGTGGCGCTCTACCGCGCGGTGGCGGACGGGCAGCTCTCGGAAACCGAGCTGCTGCACACCCTGGACGAGCTGGTGTTCGTCAACCTGGACGTCACCGTCGGCAACTTCTCGTGGAACCCGGTGTTTCTGGCGGCGCACGCCGCGGTGCAGCGCGAGGTCGTGGCCGAGATCCGCCAGGCCCGCGGCGGCGGCGGCGGCGGCTGGAAGGGATACCTGGCCAGCTCGTCGACGCTGCTGCAGGCGGCGATCCTCGAGTCGGCGCGCCTCAAGCCCATGGCCTCTTTCGCGGTGCCCCAGGCCTGCCCGACCGACCGGCTGGTGGGCGGGTTTGTGATCCCCGCCCACACCGAGATCGTCGTCGACACCGAAGCCCTCAACGTCCACAACCCCGTCTGGGGCGCCGACCGCTACGACTACCGTCCGCGCCGCTTCCTGGACAAGAGCCCCGTCGCCTGGCGCTACCATTTCTGGCGCTTTGGCTTCGGGCCCCGCCAGTGTCTGGGCCGGCATGTGGTGGATCTGCTGCTGAAGATCCTGTTGGCCCAGATCGTCGAGCGCTACGAGCTGCTCCCGGCCTGGAAGGAGAGTGAGAAGCCTGCCGGCGAGAAGATGGAGTATCGCTCCTGGGAGAAGAATCCCGATGTCTGGATGAATCTGGCGATGCAGCCCATTGCGTGGAAGAAGCGGGCGGTGGAGAGCGAGCAGTGATGGCTGTTGTCTCATCTTATCTTGCTTCATGATCACTCAGTCGGCTTGGATTGATGCTCTACAGAAACGAGACAATCTTCTATCATTGATCCTAAAGCTTGTGCCCGAGGAAAGCTGTATCGAATATCGGTCTAATTCCGAGAATGCTAGGTAGAGTGGGTGCATGCGATGTTAGAGAAGAAGCTAGTGGACCCCAATACACGGACTTAGTCTTCAATGACACAATATACACAATATATCAGAGCAGATCAATGTAAATGCAATATACAGAGAACACGCTAGTGGATCCCACAGCCGACCAACCCACCCAGCAAACAAAGCCACGCAATAGCAGTCCACTCACCTCACGCATACACCCTCAGCTTCAACCATCGAGCTGAGAATTCATCTCACCAAACAGGGGGATGTAGCGTCACTACAGGAACAAGCTACGGGGTCCACTTTCCGAGTAACCTAGACCAAGTTACTCAACACAACACAAGACACTCGACCCATCCCATCAACCCAGTCTAGACCAACCCATCCAGTCCCCTCGAAACTGACGTACCGGTGATTCCAACTGCACGTCGCCATCCGATGCAGTAGCTGGAGCCCGGCGAGAAGACATCCATGCGCGGAATGCCTACCGGCCCCACCCCACGGGTTCGTTGCGAGCTAGCTCCAGAGTCTTGCATCATGCCCAATGCCAATCTCCCCGGTGGGAAAATCTCTGCTTCTCATCCTTCGCGGCATTCGTCGTGGGTCGATGGACTGCCCAGTGGAAAGAAAGCCAACGCAAACACACTTCACGGATGTGTCGGTTTTGCGGGATTGTGTCACTAGGATTTGATGTAGACCCTCACCTCCGGGGGGAGAGGTGATGTCTCGGGGGGCTGTTCGGGGAGGGTTTTTATTTAGTTAACATTTGCTCTCGGGTACTCTCTGGGGAAGTCCATCTGGGGAGGGGAGGTAGAGGTAGAGGTAGGTCCACCGGAGATACTCGGGGAGGGGGAGGAAGGTTAGACGATTCTGTAACGTTCCATGTACAATGGGGGTCTAGTGCAGCATATACTGTACTCCGGTTTCATGTCTTGTTCCCTTCGGACCCCTAGCAAGCAGACTGGCCACGGGCGAGACCTGCCTACCATCCCTACCGGTTAGGGCTGGAGGCCTTGGGTTTGCGTGGTTTCGTTGGACCCCGGTTACCATGACCACGCTGGCATGTGGCGTGCGTCATGCATTCTCCCGCGGAGGACTTGAATCATGACATTACCTCATATTCCCGATCCGTCCGGTTCCTATGACTCGGACTCCGACGCAAGGTCGCGACTGGGTGTCGGCTAGTCTTTCTAAGCTACGTGAATCGCAACCTGTCGTCAATGTATCAAGATAGAAACCACGGCAAATGCTGACTTGGGCCTTGTCCTCTTATCGCGTCACGCGGACAATCGAATAACAAAAGTTCTTAGGGTATTATACCTCCAATAGCCAGAATCTCGAAAGACTACAAGTCTAGTATCTAAACACGCCACACATTTTATAAAATATGAGGGTGAAACCTCGGGTGTACAGTACTGTATGTAGCGAACACAACCACACGAACAGCAGCGCCAAGGCCAAGGCCAAAGCCAAAAACCCCATCTCCCTCAGAAGAAAAGATTCAAATCCCCCGCGGCAACCTTGGCCTGCACCTCCGCCGCCACCCGGGCCGGGGTCTCGGCAAAGACATGCTCCCAGCAGTAGACGTCGATGTTGGCGGGCCCGCCGCCGAGCGCGTTGACCTGCGCGGCGTAGCGGTCGCGCAGGGCCTCGATGGCGCGGCTCACGCGCGCGATCCCCTCGACGGTGCCGGCCCGCTGATCCGGGCGCGGCGGCGCCTCGAACGGAAACTGCGTGTGATCGGCCAGGAGACACTTGGCCAGGAGGTCGTGGTCGTGGGCCTGGAAGGCGCGGTCGTGCGCTGCCTGCCGCGCGCAGACGGGCTGGCCAGCCTCGTCCGCGTCCGCGTGGTAGGGCACGTCCGCCTGGTGGTGGCCGTCGTCGCGGAAGGCCCGGCCCAGATAGTCGAGGTGCGAGCCGCCCTGCATGCTGTTGCCGAAGATGGTGATGTATGGCTGGGTTCGGTACCGCGGGTCGGCGACGAGGTCCTCGATGGCCACGCGCTGGAGCGGCCAGCCGGCTGGCCGGTGGAGGCCCGAGGTTGTTGAGCTTTCTTCCTCGCGGCTGCGGCTGTCGTCGGGGCGCGTGGCCATGGTGGTGTACGCCCGGATGTGGTACCCTTGTGGTGTGTGTGTGTCTGGTCAGCTTTCCGATATGCCCCCCAGTAGGGATATACTCGGCAGACGTGAAACACTCACCATCTTCGCAGAAATGTCTGACGAGCAGGAGCAGTGGCCATTGCCGGTTGGCCCAGATCTCTCGGCAGATCAGGTACGTGGGGAAGGCGGCCGAGACGCTCACTTCGCGGGGGGACTTGTGAGTCGATTCGAGCATGAATCTGTGGCCCATTGCGCCAAGGGGGTTAGTCCCCAGGGGGGGTTCCTCTTCATGCGGCAGGGTTGAAGTCGGTCTTACCGTTGAAGATCGTCGGATAGTTGCAGTCCCGCCGCCCAGCTCTGCACCCACGAGCAGGAGATCAGGGACAACCACTTCTGCAGGAAGCAGTGCCGGTCCTTGATGCGGTTGATCTTGAAATCCACGTAGTTGGTGTTCGAGCGGTCCCAGTACGGCGCGATGAGCTCATTGCCGTGGTCCATGGCCTTCTGGGGTACGAAGCGGACGGTGATGCGGGAGCCCATGCGCGCGAATTCCTTGAACTTGGCCAGCACCGAGGCGGCTGCCAGGAAGAGCACGGCCGTAGAGGAGTCGTGCAAGTCCCAGGTCGGGGATGCGGCGTC